AGAAAGTATAAAATACAAAACTGAATCTAATATTCAATTAATCACTTACAAAATTTCTTCAATGTCATGACTGAATGGTGATAGGGGACATCAATGACGGTTGGCATTGAGTTCTATTTTGTTGGTTGTCCGTCTGTCCGTTTCTGCTGCTTATCCGGGGTCGGGTCACGGGGGCAGCAGCCTAAGTAGAGCGACCCAGACTTCCTTCTCCCCAGCCACTTGGGCCTGCTCATCCGAGGGAATCCCAATGCGTTCCCAGGCCAGCCGAGAAACATAGTCCTTCCAGCATGTCCTGGGTCTTCCCCTGGGTCTCCTCCCAGTGGGACATGCCCGGAACACCTCACCAGGGAGGCGTCCAGGAGGCATCCTAACCAGATGCCCGAGCCACCTCAACTGGCTCCTCTCGACGTGGAGGAGCAGCGGCTCTACTCTGAGTCCCTCCTTGAGCTTCTCACCCTATCTCTAAGGGAGATCCCAGACACCCTGCGAAGGAAACTCATTTCGGCCAATTGTATCCGCGATCTCGTTCTTTCAGTCACTACCCAAAGTTCGTGATCACAGATGATGGTAGGAACGTAGACCGACCGGTAAATAGAGAGCTTTGCCGTCTGGCTCAGCTCCCGCTTCACCAGGACAGACTACTACAGCGATCGTATCACTGCAGATGCAGCACCAATCRYCCTGTTGATCTCCTGCTCCATTCTTCCCTCATTCGTGAACAAGACCCCGAGATACTTGAACTCCTCCACTTGGGGCAGGACCTAATTCCCGACCCGGAGGTGGCACACTACCTGTTTCTATGATCTCGGATTTGGAGGCACTGATCCTCATCCCAGCCGCTTCAAACTTGGCTGCGAACCACTCCAGTGAGAGCTGGAGATCACGATCTGATGAAGCCAATAGGACCACATCATCCGCAAAAAGCAGAGGTGTGATCCTAAGATCACCAAAAAGGATCCCCTCAACACCTTGGCTGCACCTAGAAATTCTGTCCATAAAAGRTATGAAGAGAATCGGTGACAAAGGGCAACCTTAGTGGAGTCCAACTCTCACTGGAAATGAGTCCGACTTACTACCAGCAAACAAAACATATGTAGACTGGTTGGGCGAACTCCCATGAACCCTCCAGGACCCTGCTGAGTGTGTAGAGCTGGTCCGCTGTTCCACGACCAGGACAAAAACCCCATTGCTCTTCCTGAATCCGAGATTCGACTATCCAACGGACCCTCCTCTCCAGAACCCCTGAATAGACCNTCTGTAGTTCTGGTTCAGCCACTTGCACATTGTTTTCCATTGGTGTCTCAGTTTGCACCTGTTGTCCTTCAGCCTCAGACGTCAGCTGATCACTCTCCTGTCATTTGGTTCCAGCCGGAACTTGGTTCGGGAAATACTTCATGTTTGAAGCTAACAGCTCTGATCCATGTCGGTTCAAAGCCATTCCATCAGACTTGAAGAGATGTTTTCATTCCCAGAACAGATCAAAATTATCCACAAATCTCACAGAGTGGTCAACACAGAGCTTTTCCAAAAAGCCATTAAGAGCAAACAGTCTGCTGAACCTCTCGGCCCCTCCTCTGTCTGTAGGAATGGGCCCACTGAGGAACACATCCATGTTGAGATTTTTAACTGCATTCAGCAACTGAATAAAATGACTGTCGGTTCATAACTTCATCACTTCCTATATGAATGATGAGCTTCTTCAGAGATGGATACTCAGCTGAGATTTCCAGAARCTTKTCTGTGAGGTCAGACACTTTATCAGCAAAACTCAGAACTTTGACTTTTTTCTTGTTCCAGAAGCCTCTGATCTCATTCACCATTTTATCTGCAATGATCAACATTTCTTGATTTTTGAAAGTCTCTTTTTGGACTTGCTTTGGCTTTGAGCTGGATCTAGTCTCAGGTCCCTCTCTGAGGTCAGATAGCGAACTTTGTTCAGACTCACCAGCTTCTTCCAGTGGTGTGAATCTGTTTTGAAGAACCACTGCTTCATTTCTCTGGCCGTTATCAGGTGTTTTGATTACAGCCTGTCGCTGCTTTAGTCTCCTTGCAGAGAAAACAACTTGGAGAGAAAACATTTCTCTGTGACTCTGGCCATTCGTTGTCATCTAAGAGCTGAATCCTTCCTGAGAGATTTTTRGGTCTGGCACCAACAGAGTTCCATACAGCTTCACCCTCAGAAGCAGCTTCCATCTCCTCTCCATGTTGATCTCTCCTCTCAGCCTTCTCACCCATTTGAACGCATGTTGAGTCCTCCAAAGCATTCATCTCCTCCAGATGA